AGCAAACTTGCCCCATCTGCGTGTCAAAAATTGTGCCACTCGCATGTCCAACAGAAATTTCTGCCTGTTTTTTTTTTTGCCATTTTCAAGTGTGGTTTCATCAAACATGGTTATGCTCGACAACATTGCTGCTTTTTTTCTGCTGTGGAAGGCCCAGAAATGACAGCGATCCAGGTGCCACCATGTCTGGGTCCATCGAATCCTCCAGAAACGCACACAGCTAGGGCAATTCCACCCCATTCTTCAGGAGATGCACCTGCATGCCGCTTACAGTGCTATTTTCGACTGACCCAGACCCAGTTTGACAACCTTTTGGAGAGGATTGGTACCAAGATATACCTCCAGGATACCAGGATACGTCACCAGAGGATCTCAAAATTGACTGGCCATTGTGGCGCGAATGCTCGCTTGAGTTCACATTTTTCAATTTGTGCAAATGAAGCGTCCAACTCGAATTTGCATCATTCAAGTGACCCACGATATGGGACATATACTTGCATCTAATCGCGTCTTCACATTGACTTTACATGTAAGTCATTCGCAGTATGATTTTACTCGCATCTGGTGTGAACAAAGCATAAGACATGACTGAAGTTTGACTAACTGATAGGTTAATCTGGTTTTATAGATAAATACAGGTGAGTGTCATCTGAATAGCAAAGACACTTCATGCAGTGTTTCCTAATAATACTGCTAAGGGTCACATGTAGAAGGTAAATGATATCGGTCCTCACACAGAACCCTGTGGAACGCCAGAACTAACTGTGGTGCGTGTCATCTAATTTAACTCGCTGATCAAAATACTCTTTGTTATATATAATACAAAAAATTTTTAAAAAATACTCACCGAAAATGTGTTGTAGCACATCATTAATCGCACCACTACAGTTTATTTTGTTGTCACTTTTTACGGTGCTTCCGAGATGTGGCCGAAATAGCTACCTGATTGGATAGGATTGGCCAAACAGACGTACACTGTGCAAGGCTGTGATTGGCTGGTTTTGTGGCACATTCGCAACACTGTGCCAAGTCGAATTAACGTGCAGGCAGAATTCAGCGTGCACAGATCGTCTATGTTGTGCGCAAGAGAAAAAGACACTGCGAGCGAGTGTGAATGAGTAATTGAGTGCACAGAATGGAGATCTGTGAGAGTGCAAATGCAAAAATCGAGTGAAAGACAGCATGATTGTGCTTGTATGTTCAGAGTTGCAAGCACAGTAGTAACATTTTTGAGTGCAGAATAGATTTTTGTTTGCTTACATTGAGTTTTTATTTGCTCAAGAGTTTTTTCTGGACTCAAAATTTCCAATTGCGCACTCAGGATTGTGGCATAAATACAATTCCATAGAGTTGGGGTTTTAAGTGTTGTTATTATGGTTCATATTAGTGTAATAGTATTATTGGTGTTTGTGCTTGATTGTGTTGTTATGGTTTAGTTGGCTGAGACAGTTTATTTAAGTGTTATATGTGCAGAAAAGACAAAAGCTCTGGCTCGAGCGTCATTATTTCATGCAGCTTGCCACAATATGATTTAAAATGTAGGACATGAAAGGAGAAGTGTAAATAGAAATCCAGGCGATATGGAGGAACTGTATGGTCTCAATATAACATCTCACAATAATGCGAGTTACTGTAAAACAAGGTGACTTCACCTGAATTACTGCTTTCACTCATCATGATCCATTTATGGAATAAAATCATTACATAAACATGGAATTGTACTAATGTATTGCCTGATATAATTTGTCAAATGTTTTTTAATCAGCAAATAAGTCATTGTGTTTAGCATCTCATCTTACTGCTCCATCAGTGTCAACAATATCCTTGTGCTTCAACAGATCTAAGCTGAGCAATGAGTGCTTTGGATTGGAAGAAGCCATAATTACTCAGACCAGCAAACGAGTGGGATCGAAGATTGTTTTCAATGGGGTGAGGAAAACTCTGCAGGTGACTCCACAGCTTTCTAGCATCTTTGCAAAGGTATGTCATTTGTCATTCATGAATACAGGACCTGCTGCCTGTTTGACGTCTTGAATGTTCCTTAAAAAGATGTTTTCATTGAACTATTTTAACTGATTTAGCAGGTATAACATTTTGTACCATAAAAACAAAAATCTAGAACTAAAGTAGAGTTCTGAAGGTTCAAAGTGGTCCTCCATATATAACTAGGAAAAATAAGTTTTTTTTAATACCATGTTTGCTCACCATCTGAATATCAATGTCATGGAAATTTTAGCTCTTTCACTCTCCTACATCAACCCCAGAGTGCAGCAGAGCATCGTTCACACACACTAAGTTACATAAAATGTACATATACTATAAATATTATTATGTTTTAATGTATTTTCTGTTGCTGATTCCAGAAGAATCCTTTCTCAAATAAAACATGGGACACTTGTGCCGTTGTTGGGAACGGTGGGATCCTGACCAACAGCAGCTGTGGAAATGTGATTGACTCGGCTCAGTTTGTCATCAGGTGAGAAAGATGTCCAGTGTACAGGACTGATGGCAGCAATAATCCACAACGTTAGCATGGAAAGTCCACATAATACTTTCTTTGCTGTTTGTTCAGGTGCAACCTCCCTCCTGTGGACAACGGATACGGGAAACATGTTGGTGTCAAGACTGACCTTGTTACAGCCAATCCGAGTATCTTTACACAAAAGTGAGCAAGAAAATTAGTCTTTGTCACCTTAAATACATATTATTCCCTTTATATTGATGATTCACATAAGCCCTTTTTTTACAGTTATGAAGCTCTGACAGGACGCCGCCGTCCATTTGTGAAGAGACTGCACACCTATGGAAACTCCCTGCTGCTGCTTCCTGCCTTCTCCTATACATCAGACACTGATGTGTCTCTGCGGGCCTTCTATACCATCGAGGAGTCTGACAGCCCCATCAGACCCGTCTTCTTAAACCCTGAATACTTCCAGAGTCTGCTCCTGTTCTGGCGCTCTCAGGGTCTGTACAAAGGGCAGCTCAGCACTGGCATCACTATGGTCAGTCTGGCGCTGGAGCTCTGCAAAGATGTTCATCTGTATGGATTCTGGCCCTTCAGTACTCATCCGTTTAGCTTCCACAACCTCACCAATCACTACTTCGACAACAAACAACCTAAATTTATAGTCCACGCTATGCCGACTGAGTTTGAGCTCCTGCTGCAGCTGCACAGTCAGGGCGTTCTCAGGCTTCACCTGGGAGACTGCCAACCAGGTGGAACGTAGTTCCCAGGAACAAGCACCACTGGAGCCCAGTGCTTTTATTTTAGCCTCAGCAAGTCACTGAGACATTTCACATTAACCAACAGATTTATTTCAGCTGATGGAATGGATGGATGGAGTTTGTCCACCTGGGGTCCGTTTCACAAAGCAGGTTTAGTGAAAACTCTGAGTCTTTTTGGTCTTAGTGAGGATCCATGTTGTAGTGCCTTATGGTAGTCACTTACTAATGACAGCTTTTGGATCAAACTGAATGTCTGTTGAAAGAAATAAAAGAAGATTGTCTATTTAATGAAAACACCAGCACAGAAATTGTTAAAACACAGTCATACACTCTTAGAAACACTGGAGGGTATATATCCAATATTTACTTAAACTACACAGTGACCGCTCAGGGAAAAGTACTGTACTGCCACATAGTGGCAACATACATGTATTGGTACAATGTTAGTTTGGAAACAAGTGCTTTTTATGAAGTGTGTCAGCAAAGTTCCAGGACTGGTGTCACAAAAGATATATTTCAAACCCTAACTACAAACTACGAGTTTTCCCCTTCAGACGATAAACCAGCACGTCTACAAAGAGATCCTGTGGCATTTGCTTCGTTCAGTGCGCGAGAAGAGGCGAGAATTGTGGCAGGACAAGTGGTGGCTGCCTCACCATGACAATGCGCTCAGCATCCCACAGTTCCTGGCTGAGAAGAACATCGCCGTGCTGGAGCAACCTCCCTACTCACCCCACCTGGCTCCGTGGGATTTTTTTCCTCTTCCCCAAGCTCATGGTGGTCATCAAGGGGACCTGTTTTGAAGATGTGGATGACATCAAGATGGCTGTGATGACGGAGCTGCGGAGGGTCCAGAAGAATCCTTCCAGGAGTGCATGGCGGCGTGGCAGAGAAGGCTGGGAGAGTGTGTTAGACTCCAGGGGGGATTACTTCGAAGGGGAAACTTGTAGTTCGGATTTGAAATATATCTTTTGTAACACGAGTCACCGGTAAATTAATGCAGATTTAACTTTATCGGAAGGATATTAAATTGTGAACTTTGTGTGACCATTAAAGCACTTTTTCTTATTTAGCACAGACGGGTGGGTCTCAGAGTCATGCTGACAACACTGAGGTCTGAACAGGGTTATTCCATGTTAAATCATCAGGGTCTTCTGCTCAGCCATCTCTGATTTGCTTGAAATGTTTTCATCATAAACTATTAAAATGGTGTCTGTAAAGAATTTTAAAATTGATTTGTCAAGTAATTTCTGAGATGTGTATAGATGTGTATATACAGTGCTGTGAAAAAGTGTTCTCTCTACAGATATGTTATATTTTGCACATTTGTCACACCTAAATGTTTCTGATCATCAAACTAATTTTATCACAAGACAAAGATAACCCAAGAAAGCACAAAATGTCATTTAGACAGGATGATTTCATTTATTGAAGGAAAATTGCTGTCCAGTCCCACCTTGCCCTATGTGAAGCTACCAATCTACCAAATGGCCAAAATCATGATGCAGTTGGGTTCAATGTCACCAGCCACACCAACATATGATTACTGCCAGGCTTGTTGAAGCTTAGCCTCACCTAAATAGGTCCTGTCTGGCATTTTGAAGTTGGCAAGAATGTCTTAAAAAGCAACACATGATGCCACATTCCAAAAAGATTCAAGAACAGAAGCAAAGTCATTGACATTTATCAGTCTGGAAAGGGTTACAAAGCCATTGCTAAGGCTCTGGGACTCCAGTGAACCCCAGTGAGAACTCTTATCCACAAATAAAGGAAACATGGAACAGTGGTAAACCGTCCCAGGAGCGGCCGGCCGACCAACATTTCTCAAAGCCTGCGTCAACATCTCATCCAGGAGGTCACAAATAACCCAGACAAACACTAAAAGAGCCGAAGGCCTCACGTGCCTCACTTAAGGTCAATGTACATAGTTCCACAATGAGGAAGGTGTGACGGCCCCACCTAGTCTGTGGGTGGAGCACATTGGCTGTCTGTG